CCCTGCCCGTGGCCCCCCTTCAAGTACGGGAAGGCCGCTATAAGGTCTCCCCGGAGCCTTCTCTTTTCCAGGCTGAACAAGCCCAACTCTCTCAGCCTGTCCTTGTAGGAAAGGTGTTCCAACCCTCTGATCACCTTAGTAGCCCTCCTCTGGACTCGCTCCAACAGCTCCATGTCTGTCTTGTGTTTGGGGCTCCAGAGCTGGGTGCAGTACTCCAGGTGAGGTCTCACAAAGGCAGAGTAAAAGGGCAAAATCACCTCCCTCGACCTGCTGGCCACACTTCTTTTGATGCAACCCAGGATATGGTTGGCTTTCTAGGGTGCAAGTGCACACTGTTGGCTCATATTCATCTTATTACCCACCAACAACCCCAAGTCCTTCTCCCCAGGACTGCCCTCAATCCACTCATCCCTCAGCCTGTATCTGTGCTTGCAGGACCTTGCACTTGGCCTTGTTGAACTTCATGAGGTTGGCCTGGGCCAACCTCTCAAGCCTGTCAAGGTCCCTCTGGATGGCATCCCTGCCCTCTAGTGTGTCGACCTCACCACACAACTTGGTGTCATCAGCAAACTTGCTGAGGGTGCATTTGATGCCACTGTCCATGTCGCCGACAAAGACGCTAAATAGCACCAGTCCCAGTACCGATCCCTGAGGAACACCGCTTGTCACTGGTCTCCACTCAGACATCAAGCCATTGATCACAACTCTTCGAGTGCCACCTTCCAGCCAATTTCTTATCCACTGAGTGGTCCACCCATCAAATTCATGTCTTTCCAATTTGGAGACCAGGATGTCACGCAGGACAGTGTCAAAGGCTTTGCACAAGTCCGGATAGATGACATCAGTTGCTCTTCTCTTGTCAACTGATGCTGTTACTCCATCATCAAAGGCCACCAGATTCATCAGGCAAGATTTTTCTCTTGGTGAAGCCATGCTGGTTGCCATCAATCACCTCCACATTTTCCATGTGCCATATCAGAGCCTTCAGGAGGATCTGTTCCATGATCTTGCCAGGCACAGAGGTGAGACTGACTGGCCTGTAGTTGCCTGGGTCTTCCTTTTTTCCCTAAATGGGGGTGAAGTTTCCTCTTTTCCAGTCAGTGGGCACTTCACCGGACTGCCACAACTTCTCAAATACGATGGAAAGTGGCCTAGCAACTTGGTCTGCTAGATCTCTCAGGACCCATGGACGGATCTCATCAGATCCCATGGAATTGTACACCTTCAGGTTCTTTAGGTAGTCACAAACCTGATCTTCACTTACAGTGGATGGATCTTCCTTCTCCCAGTCTTCAGCTTCTGCAACTTGGACAGTGTGGCTAGAGTCCTTGCCAGTGAAGACTGAGGCAAAGGAGTTATTGAGAACCTCAGTCTTCTCCATATCCCTCGTGACTAGTTCTCCTGTTTCCTTCTGGAGAGGGCCCATAGCCTCCCTAGTCTTCCTTTTATCACTGAGAAATAGTTAATTAAGGAGAAATAGTTCCAACTGATGTAAAAAAGGCCTAACTTAATTGAAATCTCCCAAATGATTTCCATCACTACACCCATGAAAAAGCCAGACAGAAATAAGGTTGAGAAACAAAGGATTTGAAGGCTGAGAAATAAAAAATTAAGTGTCCTGGTTCTAAGCTTATTCTGATTTTTCACTACCATAAATTCACTGATGGTTTTCTACAGTAGCACTTAACTTCTTTAGTTCTACAGGGATTCTTTTATATTTTAGCTTTCAAAGTATTTTCTAGTGAGCAATAAAGTCAGAGAGATTATTGCAGAATTAAGTATCTCTAAACATAAATAAAGGAAACCTTGGCATGGGACAAATTATCTGCTTGGCAGCAGCAAGATCAGGAATACATATTTGTTAACTCAGAAGTGATGTAGAAAGTATCATATCTTACATAAATGTAAGATTTAACAAGAAGATATAGAACTTCAACAATACATAACCTCTAACCAACATACACAGGAATAGATTTTCATAATATAACATTTTCATATTTCACACAGAAAATGCTTGCAGTGAGATCAATGAATTAATACAGAATTATGAAAGGGTGTCACCGTCTTTTAAGTAATTTAACCATTGTAACTAATGCATTTTTATAAAGTACAAGCTAAAAATGGATTACAAACCTTGGATAGGCCATCCTGACTGTCATCTGATTTAAACTCTTGCCCAGATGGATCCTTTTTGACAGGACAATTGCCTAAAATAGGTACATTATAAAGTTCGACAATTCTATTACTATGATATTTGTTACTATATAAGTAATAAATAATAAAAGTATATGTGTCATTCTTGTTCTTTGAACAAATCAATACAGAAGGTACATACAATTGTTAGAATCATAGGATCATTGATCAATTCAGGTTGGAAGCAACTCCTGGAGATCCCCTAGTTTAAGTTCAACTTTCTGCTCAAAGTGGCATCAGTTAAAAGGTCAGACCAGGTTTACCCAGTGTGATCTTGTCAGCCTTCAACGCTGGAGACTACACTGCCTCTCCAGGCAATTTGTTTCAATGCTTGATGGTTCTCATGGGGAAAAGGCCTTGTCTTACATCTAGTCAGAGGGGCAACAAGGGCTTTTACATTTATCTTCACAGCAAAAGGAAGGCTGGGGAAAATGTAGGCCTGTTGAAAGAGACATACAAAAGACTGAGGTATCCCAAGGCCCTGAGACTAGCAGGAAAGTCTGCAGCAAGAAAGATTTAACCTTGATGGAAGAGACCAGCTCAAGGAACATTTAAATAAAATGGAAATGCTGAAGTCCATGGGACCTGGTGGCATATACCCACACACGCTGAGGGACCTGGCCGATTTCATTGCGAGGCCGCCTTCAATAATCTTTGAAAGGTCCTGGTGATTGGAGGAGATTCCTAGGACTAGAAGAATGCAACTGCCACTCCTCTCTTCAAGGAAAGCAAGAAGGAGGAATTGGGGATGTGTAAGACAGTCAGCCTCACCTCAGTCCATAGGAACTGATGGAGTAAATAAACCTTGAAGCCATTTCCAAGTGTATTAAGGACACCAAGATGATTGGGAGTTGTCAGCATGGATTTACAAAGGGGAAATCATGCCCGACTGTAGTCATGACTGCTACATTACTGTGTAGCAGTCACATCTGCATCCCACGTCCTATCTCCTTGATTCTGACCCTAATCCACACCTGCTGACTTGAGTTCCCAGCTTGACCTCAGACTTGCTTCAATGGCAGAATTCCTGGGTTATCACCAGACTGAGGATCACTTTGATCAATGTCTCTGGACCCAGTAGTGACTCTGACTTCCGTCAATACCCTCACTCTATCTGTGAATGTTGGCGCTTCCTGCCCTTGTCACTTAGCACACCTTCTTTCATGGAGCAGCCTGCACTTGCTGCTCCCAAACAGCTAGTGTGGAAACAGGAAATTCATAACGGAAACTACTACGAAAACTCAGATGTCATGGATATTACCTAAATGTACAAAAGAAAGGGGAATAGCCATTTAAATCTAATAAGAGAAGAAATAAAATTAAATTTTATAAATATATATATACATCTATAAATAAAATATATATGCACCTTTGGTTCCATTGACAGGTGTTTCTCTCTGGAGTTTCTTTAGAACTTTCAGTGGTGATTTTGATAAGTTCTTCCGGACCTTGTATTAGTTATGCAAGGAAATGGATTAGAAAGGAAACCACATATTACAGGAAAAACTAGCCTGTCAATTCAAGTGACTCTTGAAGACTTGTCTGTCAAAACTTAGAATTAAGTTTGAAATTGAGTAAAAAATTGAAACAATATGCTTTTTTCCTTATATATTCATTCTCACCTCCCTGTGAGAGCCATAACCAAAATTAACAAAAATGCTTACCTCATTTTGTTCCCCAGAACTCTCAACTTTTTGTGGAATCACATTGTGTTCATTTTTCATTTCATTTTTAAGAAAAGCTTGGATGGCCTCCTGAACCAGAGTATCAACAGACAGTACCCGGATATTGCAAACTAATACACAAAAAAATTAGATAACTTTACAATTTGAGTTGAGCATACATACAGAGAGACTATTACTGGCAGTTAAATTAACAATTTTGTTTGGGCTTTTGATGTAAGTTGTTTCCACTATCTCTTCTCTATAACCACTGCACAGTGTGTATCCACGATCACACAGCTATCTTGCTAGTCTCTTCTATAACAAACTTAGAGACGTTTGCCAAAAGCATTTTCAAATTCTCAATGCAGAAGTAACACTATGTTAACACTATATTCAAGTTCAGATGTTTTTAATCTTACTTTGGAAGACAATGAATGATCGACTTGCAACCAAGCCCTGCAAAATACAGACGCATCTGAGGTTCAAGAATTAGTAATGCAAAGATGTGCCCAAATAATTTTCATTGTGAGTGGGATTTTAATGCAAATAAACATTTTAAAGGATTTTAGGAAAAAGAAATAATTCTACCTTTTTCAATGAACTTTACACAGGTAGTTTTTCCACTAAAAAGTTTTCCCAAAATACATCCCTTGATAGGAAATCGAGGAAATACAGGTGGTGAAGATTCAGGTTTTGGAGGATAGAAAATCTCCATCAGTCTATGAATCACATGACCCAGTATGTTATTATTAAGAGGAGGTTTGTTTTCACTGTTCTCTTCAGCTGGGCACCATTCCCCTGACATACTCTGTATAAATGACAAATTACCCAATAATTTGTCAATATGCATCGTCTTTCATCTTTCTAGAATATGTATTTATACACAAACACAATACATACAATAACCAAATATGAATAGTACTAAATAATAAAATATTTTTTAGAATTGACCCTTGTTAAAAGCCATAATTATGCGATAATCATTAAGCATGTATTGATATTTAGTAATACCTAGTTGAGAGAGACAAGTACTCCTACAACCACTTTCATAGATTCCTAGAATCATTTTTTTTCTTCCAGAAACATGAAAAATCATTGTACCAATACCACAGAATGAATCAACAGCACGTTTTTGGAACAGAAGCCGAGTATTCTAAAAACTGGGCAACATTACTACCTAGAATCATACATAAATCTTTGCAAATATTTATGGACAAAGATTTCAAATATACATATTTGCCTAACACACATTCAATGGAGAGGAAAAAACCTCACAAAACACAACAACCCAATACAAACACAAACCAACGAAGCACCATATAATCCAAACAATTTTAAGGCAAGGAAATACTGAGTAGAAACTTCCAGTTCATCTGCTCTGAGACCATTATAAATTTATCAGTGGTATGAGTTACCAGCATAGAGCTTAATGAAGTTTTGCTAGTAAAGATACTTCTACTGAAAATCACATTGGAAGAAAGATAAGAATGGAAGGATGTGGTCAAAAGAATTGAACACAGAATTGTGCTTTTGCACTCTAATTCTACCAGTATTGGATCTTACAACACTAGGAAAGTCCTGAGGTGCAGTTTATGCTATGAGAAGTTAAAAGAGAACATTCTAGTATGAAGGGTAATACTAGTTCTGTATTAATTATTATTTGGTTCCAGGCTATTAAACAGCTTTTTGGAAATATGTGGACTAATAATATTCCCAATCTGATTCTAGCTTGTCATCTCATTTGAGGAACACAATAAAGGGTTGAGAGGCAAAGTCAAATGTTTCAGCAAGAGAAATTCCAACCAGGAAAAAAAATGAAGATAAAAAATGTTCACAGTGAGAGTGGTCAAGCACAGGAACAGATTGCACAGGCAGTCTGTGGTATTTCTATCCTTGAAAACACTTGAAAGCTGACCAGACAAGGTACTGAGCAACCTTATCTGACTCAGAAGTTGGCCCTGTCTTGAGAAAAAAGGTTGAATTAAATGACCTGCACACCCCTTTCAACCTAAAAAAATGTATCATTCTATAAATTAAATATTTAATCACCATCAACAGAAGCAACCAGTTTCAAAGTTCTACTGAAAGACAATGTTTTGGATTCATGTTCCAGACAGAATATGCAAACTTTCCCTGAGCTTACTCTCATGAATGATATATTGCCACAGCTACAGGCTTGGGGATGAGTGGCTGGAAAGCTGCCCGGCGGAAAAGGACCTGGGGTGCTGGTTGACAGCCGGCTGGACATGAGCCAGCAGTGTGCCCAGGTGGCCAAGGAGGCCAACAGCATCCTTGGCTGTATCAGAAGTGGTGTGGCCAGCAGGAGTAGGGAGGTGATCGTGCCCCTGTACTGGGCACTGGTGAGGCTGCCCCTTGAATCCTGTGTGCAGTTTTGGGCCCCTCACTGCAAGAAGGACATTGAGGTGCTGGAGCGTGTCCAGAGAAGGGCAACGAAGCTGGTGAAGGGTCTGGAGAACAGGTCTTGTGAGGAGCTGCTGAGGGAACTGGGTTTGTTTAGTCTAGAGAAGAGGAGGCTGAGGGGAGACCTTATCGCTCTCTACAACTACCTGAAAGGAGGCTGTAGTGAGGTGGGGGTCGGTCTCTTCTTCCAAGTAATTAGTGACAGGACAAGAGGAAATAGACTCAAATTGCACCAGGAGATGTTTAGAATGGATATTAGGAAAAATTTCTTCACTGATAGAGTGGTCATGCATTGGAACAGGCTGTCCAGGGAAGTGGTGGAGCCAAAACGTGTTGATGTGGCAATTTGGGACATGGTTTAGTGGGCATGGTGGTGTTGTGTTGATGGTTGGGCTTGATGATCCCAGAGGTCTTTTCCAACCTCAATGATTCTATGATTCTACAATACTAAAAGAACTTGATCAGTGTTGATTTTGAACACATGTGCATTGGACAGAATAACACAGTGTAATTTATTATCACTCTAAATGCAAATATACCTATTTTTAAACAGTAAAAACAAACAAAAAAATCTTTTTAGTTGTACTATATACCCTCTCTAATATATCTCAAAAAACATACTTCTTAACATATATTTGAAAAGAAATGCTTAAAAAAATCAAATCCTTGTCCTATCTGAAGCACTCTTCCTTAAACACATAAGTAGAGATGGATCAGTTGTTTTAAATTCTACCTGCAGGAAAAATGAATTCCCAACGAAACGGGCTCTAAATTCAAAGTACTCACCTTTCAGATTTCTTGCCCTCTTAACCAGAAGATTGCTAGGCTGTACCTGTCTTGAGCTAAAGTAACTTACCTGTCAGAAACCAGTTTTCAGGTATCCAGGTATCCTGGTCAACACTCTCGATCAAAACTGGAATTTATTTGATATTTTGAGCAGTGCCTCTGTTATGCTTGTTTTTGCTGATTCCATTAATTCCTGCAGTGATTAGCCGCAACTGGTGATGTGGTAATTTCCAAGCTCAATGTAATGTGGAATAACTGACCGATAGCACTAATTTTGTTCTTGTATTTTACCAAATATATTTGATAATTTTAGTCAGTATTTCTAAACTTAGTATGCTTGAGAGATGCCAAATTGCCTGTGTTGGGCTTTTTTCTCAAGGGTTAAGAAAATCAGCATAAACTTTGCCAGAATGCCCTGCCAATACAACTTTATCAAGAAGCAATAGTTTGAAGGTATTAGCTTCCATTTAGGTTTTTAGAAGGTAAGTATGAATTTTGCCAACAATTTTACACATGTCATATGATACCAGCTTTCGGTATTTTTTCTCAATACTGATTCAGAAAGGCATAAGACTAACAACATCTGGAAAAAAATTAATTATGTGAATGTATATTAGGACCAGACTGGTAGTAAAAAGGAGGCTTTAAATGTGTTATTAAATGTTTGGAACCTTTCGTTCCCTTAGATCTAGGGAAGACTACTGAGTCTTTGCAATAGAAAAAACAACGTGACTGTAAAAACTTTATTTTTCATTAGTGCTCCTCACTGTTTCCTGCCTATCTGTCCTGTATGTCCTCCCTGTTGATTTGCACGTATGTCTTTTTCACCTAAAGAAAGTGATCATGAAATTCATTACACGAGTTGATCTCGTCTGAACAAGGACCTTATAAATAGATAAATCAGAAAAACGTAGGTTAAGATTGAAACCAAAGTAAATTGATCTGTCAGGCATTCATTACAGAAACTTGTAAGAAACATTTGCATTCATTGCAATAGCAAATGTACTAATTGGGTCACGATGTGGACAAAAACACACATATATTGTAACTATAATTTCCCAACAAATCGAAGACAAATTATTTGCCATGATTTTGCCATATTCTAGTTAAACAGATTATTTGAAAAGACTATGGGGCAGGATTTTTTTTCCCAAAGAAAAGCATCATTAATGTCATTTGCAAAAAAATGGTACAATACGTTTTAACAGGGAAACATTTATCCTTCATCTTTCACTTGTGAAATTACATTAATGTATTGTAAAGTTGAAGAAACGCTTCAAGGAACCCTGAAAAACAGTTACACACATTCTAACAGAGTGTTAAGAAAAATGTCAGCCATTTTTAATAATTTTCACAAACGTAATTATCTTAAAATAAATGGATCACTCAAACCAACAAACCTTGTTAGAAAGCTTTTGCTCAAAATTTCTGAAATTAAGACTCTCAGGTTTTGTAACAGATACAGTATTTCATTTTGTTGGCTACTTTCTATTGTATTTTTGAATGTGGTAGTATTAACCACACATTCAAATTCCAATTAGCTCAAAGTTAATTGCATTGCAATTAACATACTTGTCCTATGAACTCAAGAGAGAAACACAATCAATTTTATATACGAGAATAAATTTATAACAGTATTTTAAAATTGCACCAGTTCTTCAGTGCTACTAACATAAAATATAGCCACGTATTTCATATAGAACCTCAAGCAATGAAAATAAAATACATGTCAAAATGTGGTATCAGAAACTAATAAAAGAACAAAACAAAACATCACAACAAAATGTTTATGATTATGAAAAATCAAGGTGTATTATATTCCATCATGTCTTAACAGTTTGATGTACCTTGTATTCACCATAATCTTTTTCATCTAGCAGATTCACTTTATTCAGCTCTACAAGTTGTTCTGGGCTTGGTTCATTTGGCAAAGGTTGAATTGAGGCTTGTTCATATATTGGTTTTCCATTAAAAAAAAATTCCTTCCAACCAAGCATCAGTTTCAATGGAATCCTGCTGTGGAACGAAAAAAAAAAAAGAATGAGTTCCAAAACAAAAAAGTCAAGGGTCAGATATTTGAGAACAGTGGACCCAAGAATCACAAACACGAAACAAGCATAGTTGAGCATATGCATAGTTCATAATGCATTTTTTAATTATTACAGCTTTCTATAAGTGCTTGGTTACTTATATGACAGCCATAGACCCTTGTAGGCTTCAGTGTCTTCACAAACATGTCATCACACCATATTTATTCAGCTGGCAGACGTGTAGTAACAATTTTGCTATAGCTATGTTTCCTGCTCCAAAATATTCATCCCTTTCGTGAGGTAAAGCCTCCTCTCATCAAAAATCTGTAGAAATTTTTCCTGGAAGCTAAAATGAATTTAGAATTATCTGAGTAATTAAACTCAATTTTTTTTTCTTTTAGAAAGGAAGAATATTCATATGAAACAACGAGACAAACTGTATATACTAGCAAGTTAAATGCAAACAGGATGCTGATATATGACATATTAGAATTCTATGGCTGCTAAATAAACAATATAAATAACAGCTTAAATTAACAAATGGTCAAAAAGAAAGTTTCTACTTTTTCTAAAGTTTACATCAATTTGGACTTCTTATTTTTTAGTAATGGTTGTAGATAGTTGAGAGTTACGGCTTTAAATAAACTCTGCATATGCAATAATTTAATACCTATCGTATGCATCCTGCACAATGAAGTGCACAGAAGGACAGAGAAAGCAAACCTATGGTGGCAGTACATCCAGATTCAACCTTGATATGCATACTTTGGAAAGATATTTCAAATATCTGTACATGCCGTGCACCACTCAGTACAAGCAAACGTGACACCAGCTTACATTGGAACCATGACTGTGTCAAACAAGGACAACATCAAACCATCACCAAACCGTGTCTATTTTATCAGGTACTTACTGGCCTAAATTTATGTAATTTCCATAAAATACAATTATATCTATTTCATATGATTACAGATTTATTATTTTAACATACAATTACACTAAAATGCAATGAAGATTTTGCCTTAGTTTCTAACACTGTAAGCCTTACCCTGTAGTCTATCCACTGAATACCCATAAAAGAACAACAGTAACATTGCCCCACTCTGTAGTTTTGGAAACGCTCCTACAGCACAGGCACTTGGAGGTTACTGCCTTTTTAGGACCTTCTCAGAAAACCTGCGCAATTAGGGCATGTCAGAAGAGGGAATCACAGCATGTAGGACTTGGAAGATTTTGGGCTGAGCTGACAGTCTTAGGATAGTCCAGGCAGGTTGGTGTATCTTAGGAAATTCATTCTGTTTATATTACACTGAGGAAGTGTTCAGCTAGTGAAGCAATCCAGAATGGGATGAGCATCAGTCAGCTTTTAGCCTTTAAACTAAAGAATTTGCTCATAACAAAGGAAATCAGTAGTTCCACAAGCTGTAGAACTAGTGGATCTTGGTCTCCTAAGGGTTCAAGTCAGTTGAGTTTTCAAAAAATTATCTTATGGCTTCAGCATTAGTTCACTCTGTACTACACATCAGTGAATCCTCACAGGAAAGTAACATCATCATTTTCCCACATAAACTAATTGGAGCTTCCCTGTAAGATATATGAGAATCTACATAACATGTTATGGTGCTTAAACTAGTCCAAATAATGAAGCCTAACAGCTACCTAACAGCTGTTATTATTGCCTTACAGCTACCATACTCACTTGTTTGTCAGCAGACGATATTCTCCTATTTTTGTTGACAAATCAATGATTTGGTCGATCACTTCCCAACATATAGAATAATGCTTTTTATAACGTGCCTGAGCTCTTTCAACGGCAATTTTCTCATGACGTTCTCTTTCTTTGATAATTTGGTCCTCATAATCAATTTTTTCTTGTTTTGCAAGAGCCTAGAAATTTTTTTTAAAAAGTAAACTTGAGATTACAAAGAAGGGGGAAGTGCAGAAGTGCACAGTCCTGGAAATGAATATGAACTTGCTCATTTAAGTCTCATTAAGCCTTATTTTCAGCATACTCGGGTAGCCAGCAAGCAGATTAACACATAGACAAATCTAAAAACTTTTATTCATTCTATAACTTCCAGTTTGTTTGCTTTCTAACTGATAAAATGTAATGAAATGAAGGAGAAATATATTACTTTTTTCCATGAGAAACAGATTAAGAACATATTCAGTGCTTAGGGGGCAGGGAAACATGAAATGATGCTGTCTACTCTTCCTAAGGAACAACTATGCAAATGCGTTGGTAAAGGAAAGGCTTAGTTCCACTGAAATCCACAATGGAATACTCATTTAGAATATGTGACAAGTAATTTAACTCACAAGATTCTGATCCGCAAATAATTTTATATTACTGATGCTGTTTAAACTTTGAGAAAGATTTCTGGTCATGGTAGAAAATTATCAGTAGTTTCTGTGACAGTGTGCTCTGTTTAGCCAAAAGTGTACTTAAAAGAGATGTTGTAATCAAAGCTATAGCTGCTGATTACATAGGACTCGGCTGTGTTGGAGGATTTGGAGCTGCTAATTGCTCCTGGCAGGAGCTAAATAAGACTTTTACCACCACATTATGGCCTACTATGAGCGTAGCACTTCACAGTTAGCCACAGGATTGTGAGTCCTTATAATTCATTAATCAACTCCAAGCTCCAAGGTAGGAATTGGCACTCACGAGTGACACACCCCCTGCATTTGTCAAAAATGCATGTTAACAGATTACATCTAAAGAAAATGAAAAGCATGATTCTTGGAACAAGATCTTATGTCACCATCTTTTGTCATTTTGCTTCTGCAAGACTGTGCCTTTTAAACTCAGCACAGAGACATGTTTTCCTACAAAGGTAAAATTGGATTGGAAGAAAAGATCAGAATTGGACTTTAAGTTGCTCAGCTTCATCCCTTATTAAGGTAGCTATAACTTTGAATCTAGATAAAAGAAAATATTCACCCTGTCCCTAGAAAAATCCTAAAATACAAATTCCATTTTATAGCAGGCAGGTACAGTAACAGCCCTGCAGCAATTCAGGGAGCAAGTAATATTTTACCACTTCTCTATCAAGAGCTTCCTGGAACTCCTTCAGTCGTCTTTCTTCATATTGTCTTTCCCTGAAAATTCTGTTTTGCCTTAACACCTCTTTTTCATGTCGAACGTGCATGAGTTGAACAGCAATCCTCCGCTCCTGCTGAGATTGCCTCATTAGTCTGTAAATAAGTTGCTCCTCCCGGTATGCCTCCTAAAAGATAAAAAAATAATAGTATTAAGTACAGCTTACAAATTATTTCATAGACATCTCCTCAGTGTCTCATATGAGAAATATGAATGGGGTCATATAACAGCATTTACCTGCTAATTTGGTACATAAACCCAGAGCAACATCCATGAGTACTATTTTCGTAAACTTTATATGAACTGTAGAATTACAGAAGTGAATTCTAACTATGTCTTAACTGAGATACACTGTAAAAATACATTTGTTCAGATTAACTCAATTTTGACTCAGATATTTCCTGTGTGAAAAGAAACTGCAGCATATTTCAAATAATTGCTTCTGTATGTAAAGATATACCCTTTCCTCAAATCATTAACTTATCCCTGCTCTTCACCATTCCCCATTCTCAGACATACACTGCTGGATCCTTGATCAGTCTATTCTTTTATAGGTCTGAATTTTTCCTTCTTTCTTGGAATCTGGGTAATTATCTCCTCCATTCTCCTCCATTCAGTAGACTGGGAATACAAGGAAGCATTCAGAACAGAGGAAAATACAAGACTACTAGGTCACAGTTTCAGTGTAATCACTGGGACATGAACAGAATCCCCTATTTGGTACTATAAGAAAATAATTCTGAACCATTGCTTGAAGCATGGCCCGTGTGCACAGACACTTTGAAGGCTGTTGACTATTACTATTCAAAGTACTTGTCAAAACATAATAGTATCTTCTCACGGCCACACTTCTCTAGACTGTTCTTGGTATCTAAACTAAAGCTTAACCTAACCTAAAGTTTTGCCTTATTGCTCTCACAGTCCAGAACTACTTCTGAGTTCTGTGCAAAAGCATCATCTTGCCTTTGAAGCCCCATTGCCAAATATTACTCCTACAGCAGAATTTCAGAGGAAATTTCTGATTCCCTGGACACTTGTTTCAGATGCAGCTACAAAATTAATTCAAATTTAAGGACCTAAATTGGGAACAGATCTGAAGATTTCAAATTCACTCTCCTAAGAACAAAGGAACAGGTAAAGCCAGTTAGTTTGTTTTGAAAAACAAACCAAAAGAAAATATCACTACTATTTTCTTTTAATCTAGTTTATTTTCCATCATCTGTCTGACAGAGAGGGCAGAACACATTACATAAATTCACCTACAGGTGAATTTATTTCATTTACAAATGAAAAATCAAACATATATAAATTATATATTATCATACTATTTACGAAAGAAATATACAAAGGGGTCTAGATCTGTGCTACACAATGCAATCAGGACATCTGTAACAGATGTCTAACACAAAGCTGCAAAACATGGCTATTTTAATTGCAATAGTAAGAACATCAACTTTCTAATTAATTCAGGTCTTTAATGATGATGCTAGAGAGAAGCCAATATTTTTCAAACAAAACTCTTCCCATATTTTTAAGTTACTTTACTTTATAATTGCTGGGAATAAAGTGCACTCCAATTAAACACTACGCTAAGCTGATATAAAAATCCCTCCACATCGTTTAATTTAGCCAAAATGTGAGCTTTGCCCTCCCCTTTCCTAGCACTGAATCTCATGACACTGCATGATAGTTCTAATCGCAAAGATGCAGTTGCCTCAGGCTTTAAACTTAGAGCGCTTCACCTGCACACAATATTGTTTCTCTATAAATCTTATACAGGATCTAATTTTGAATGTGGGATTTTTTGTACACTATTTCAGTGTACTGTTTGTACACTATTTTTCTATGCACAGATTTATCACCATTCATGCATCTGAAATGCAAAACAATGCAATAGTAACACCTCCGTATGCATTTTATATTTTCATATTCATTCTATGTGTCATTTGTTATAGCTTGGGTGATAAAATTTTCCAATAGCACTGCCTACTGAAGAGCTAATCTGTCCTTTTGTCTCTTACATTCATGAAGTCAAGGCAATAAAAGGAGACATGATGCCCTTTGCTGCCTCAGTTTTATCCACTACTTCTTTGGACTTTCATTAAGTATTTCATTAGGATTTCAAAGAAGAGGATGCACAGACTTTCCTTCCTATTACAAGCAAATACCTTTCATTGTTTTCTTCACTTGTAACTGTTTATCCTCAGCCATGGACTAGTACAGCAATAAGTACCCCACCAGCAGAAAACAGATCTTTAAATCCTAATTCGCAGGGGACTGAAGGAGCTACACTAACAGAATGGACATTTGTCATACTCAAACCATCAACTGTGTGGTGCAAATAGTTGATTCAATGAGAAAACAAAACTCCTCATCTAGGTGAATGCGCTCTTTATAAAGGAAATGGGAAGATGCTCCTTTAGGACAATTCAGAGCAGGAAGGGTAGAGAACTTTGATACTCTAAGTGACCGAATACTTTGACATGCTGAGCAGGCCTAAAAAGAGTGAGCAGGAAATTTTTGAGGAACAAGAATATATGAAAAGGCAATTATCTCAGAGCTACACAATGGATAAATTAGGATTCAGAACACCAAACTTGTAATTTCAAAAAGGGTACTTATTGGTGGGGGACTGAAGCATTGATAGCTACCTTTCATACAAACAGGAATGGACAAAGTACAAAAACCTAAGGTTGAAAAGTTTTGAAACTTTTGGGCATACCAGGAGACAAAACAAATTTGGTAGTACCATTTTTTGATCTAACATTTTACATCACCTTTTTCAGAGGACTGCGAAGTGTCTGAAGAAATCATAAATATCATAAATGGGTCATCTCAGTAATCATCCAAAAAATTACTACTGAGAAAGCATAATACATGCTTTTTTTCAGTTTGCCTACTCGAGACAACAGTGGCATCCAGTGGCCAAATATTCATTTGTTTATGTTTCATGTTCACACATAATTGCTAGATAACATTTTTCTACTTCCTTGTCTAGTTTACATACAAATGAAACAATTCATCTTGTTGTGTAGTCATAAGATTTATGACCAAAACTTTTAGCTTAGCGTACATAAATCTATTTGGTTGACAAGCAATAATCTAGTAACAATTCATTTCCCCTCCCTTTTTAATCTTTTCAATTTATCGCTGATGGAAACTTCTTCCTGACAACTTTTAAAATTCAGAGAGGTAAAATCTGAACAGAGCATTTAAAAATAATGAGTACTAAAAACAAATACTTTATTGAAATGGTGGAGATCAAAGATTCAAATGGGATGAAGCCATGTTACTGTCAATGCACTTTCGACTCCCACCTAAGAAAATCTGACTGGCATCACCTTGTGATCCACATAGATTAGTCTCATGTAATTGTAACATAATTTTTCTCACAGGCTCCAGCTTGCAGTGTGAACAATATTCTTTTACTAGAGGTTTATATGTACGGACATGAAATACTCTAAAGCACTCTGAAGGGATGAAACCCATTTGACTCTAAATGATCCCATGCCCGGTGTTCAAGTTTTATGCAGTATATGTAAAAATCTGACCCTAATCTCTACAAGAAAGCTACAATTTCAGTCTGCAAATCCCTTCCGGTTTGACGGCTAATGGAGGGAGAAAGTAATTTTCAATTATTTTGTATATTTATTTATTTATTAAAGAAAATATCTCAGTTTGCTTCACACTTCTCTGAAGTCAAGCAACATCTAATTTCTGAAACCTCACAGAGTCCCAACCAGACACCTCTTCCTCAGCTAATTTAGAACGGAATTACCATTCTAAATAGATTCTCTGATCTGGTCAGACTACTGTTCCAGTCAACAGCTCACCTATCTATCCTTCTAATTTCTGCAGTCTATGACTTCTATTTTTCCTATATCACACGATTTTTTCTTTCTGAGAAGTTAGGAACACTATTGTTACTTTTGCCTTGCTTTGGAGCCCCACTGGAGCCAGTCTGATCGGCAGTACGTTGCAACAATTCTTCCATCTCAAACCAAGAAGACTTGTACTACAACCTCAGGTGGACCAGCTGTCTGACCTCTTCTACAGCACTGGCTTAGAGCTGCTGTATCTACTAAAGGCCCCAGTGACTGCTGGTGGCCACATGGCCATTAGTCTATAGCCATGGCTATCGGAACCCACTAGTCCAGGCTGCTGGGGCTACAACAGCTGATAGCAGATAAAGAGCAAGTTTCAGGACTACAGTGATTTCAGACATCTGGGTTGCAAAGTTACTTCATGGCCTACGTATATCCACAAGAACATGATATAGAATCTCTTTGAATTTGAGCTCAGAGACAGGATACAGGGATAGACAGATTCTTGGTCTAAGCCACTACAGGTGTTTTTCACAGAATATAGGTCTGGGATAGATATTGAGAAATCACCTAATTCCAACATGCCTACCACCACAAATTTAATTTTTTCTTAACAACTCCAAAAACATCTCCAGACATTACATGCCAACGCTGAAATATAAATATTAGATAAAGTTTCATACTTTTGCTCTTCGGAGATGCCACACATCTGAAGTGCTATTATTGCACAACAGCAGTGGAGACAGGCTCAGCTATATGCACCTGGGTTCAACACATGATCTAAACTAAGGACTCAGTGCAATATATTAAGACAAAAGACAAAGAAATCACAGAAACCTAGTAAGTTACAAGGTTCTGTTTTGATACAATCATTACAAAAGAGAAGATCTGTGAAGTCAGTAATATAAGAGCTGCTTTTTGAATGAGGAGTGTCTGAGGAAGAATCTGAAAACCTTGTGCTTTATGGGACAGGATTCAAATGGCATAGCCTCAATACCCATTTCTAGACAGAGCACAGACATCCTCCAGGCACATATCTTCTATTCCATAACACATCAAAAATCAAAGCTCTGATCTGCAAAGTGTTTTGCTTCTTCACATCACCCAGCACAACCATTTCCGAATTCATGCAGCCAGATCAAAAACTTTACATAATACCTTTGTAAATATACAAATAATTATACAGTATATAAATAATACCAGTTTTCAACCAAGGAATGCCATGTTTGGTGGTTTTTAATAAAAATCTTCTTCAGAACTAGTATACATTTTGACAATCTAAAGTTCAGCTTTGGGGGTGGGGGGAATAGAAGGCAGGTCTTCAACTGATCTCTAATAATCTTAGCTTTGCTGCCTTCATTTGATCCTTTATGACTTATAAGGATGAAGTATGACATGAAGGTGGTGAGAAGAATGGACAACTTTACATATTTTTCAAGGAAAGACAATGGTTGGCATAAAAGTTATTTTCAGAGAGAAGTGCATATACCTCCCTTTAGCCCTCCAAATTTTATTCAGTCCTCAAAAATACTGTTTTATATTTGTAAGCCAATGTGTAATTACTAATTGTGCATGAGTTATATACTTCAGCACACATTTTCTCACCTGTTCAGCTTCATGTGTTATTAACTGTTCCATTAGCATTTTTCGTCGTCTCTTGTCTCGTTGTTCTCTAGCAAATGTATCTTCCTCTAAATGTTTTTGAGTTTTCCTTATATATTCATCATCTGAATAAATATTTAACAGCTCAGTTGCTGTTTGTGCTGCAGTTTCTAGAGTTGTTTCTTGCAGCTTCTGGGTTTGCAATGGTTCTTGTATACTGCTGATCGAAAAGATTAAATAGAAAAATATGACTGACTTTATAGGAATTATGGTTCTTAGAGGTGTTTTCATACAGAACCTTGTACAGTTATGTGCAAATCTGACAAATGCACAACAGCACTTTTGTGGACACTGTGACTACTCCTTGATGCCCTTGCCCCCCATAATGACCCCTAAGTCTAGAGGAGGGCTCCAGCACTGTCTTGAGCCAACTGTCAACTAGTTCATTTGCTAATATAAAGCCAAATTCTGCAGAAACAGGAAATTAGGATGGCTCACAGAATATCAAAGAAAGATGGGTTTCTCTTCAATATCTCCACAGACTCTAAGTGCAGTTTTGCAGAGTTATTAATTGCATGTTGTTTGCACACAGAAGTATCCACAGCAGTATGCATGAGTGCCACCTCTTCTGAGCATGGTAAACATATCACTAGACGTGGCAGAAAAACTATCACTCAAAATTATTCACAAATAAATCAACATAGAGATAAGTTTAAGGAGGAAGGTTACTTCTCGCTATTTTCTTTGAAATGTTACCATGTATGTCCACAACCATTCTCGTCTCTCTGCAGATCTAACTGACCTTACAGACTCAATGACTGAAATGAACAGAGAAGAGATGCACTTTGTGTCCTTTATTGCTGCATATACAGCAAAAAAGAGAGAAGGAAGCTTGAGTCATTCCGACGACAACTAAAGGCAAGGTAAAAACACTGTAACAGTGCTGGAGCTGGAATATTTGCAGAGCTACTGGGACAATCACTCAAAGGGCAATCACAGTTTAAATTAAACAAGCCATCACATTTTCCTCAAGTAGCTGTCTACAGAGATAGTAGGCACTTGAGGTAGGATCCTGTCTAATCTTAACAATCTAATATCCAAATATTACCTGTCAGTGACTTGGCTGTGTACTGCAGAGGCATTTGCTGCTATAGACTTCTCAAACTTTTTAATCTCCTTGTATGTGTCCTGAAGAAATAACACAAAATCTAATGTTTCTTTTCTCTTTACAAAGTATCATAAGGATAAAGTATTGGGGAATTATTTTTATGTCATGTTAGTAAAACTGAAATGTTTGCACTGAAAATATTTCAAGTGTCTTCTAGATCAAGAAAAAAGAAAAGACTATTTCCTTCTTTTACCTTTCACTTCCTTCCCCATCCTTTTCCTAGCTATATCTATGTCCACAAGCCTGAAAATCCTACCATTTTGTAGCTGTTCATTCTACAGAATAATTTTGATTTTGTGTAGGATTCTAGCAGTTTATAGAATTCCTACTCTTCGGGGATTTTAAACAAGGTATTCTGGGCTATGATCTGCTTTAGTAGTAGCTTGAATTTATCCCTGCTAGTTACTCAAGCAACTATGTTCCTACATTCTACATTTAAATGCATCTGTCATGGTTGCACAGTTGTAAAAACTGGTAATATTTGCACTCCTGATGACAATACAATCCACGAACTGTAAGATTACAACCCAAGTACTCTTCAGCACTAGATAATATAGATTTATTTTTTTTCATTGGTGCATTGCCATCATCTCTTGATTTGATCTAAGAGTGTTGTCAGTTTCAGCTTTTACTAACATTTTTGAGAAAGCAGACAATTGTATAGTGTGTTACAGAAGAGTTCGTACATTATGGTGCAAAACTTCAGCATACGCAAATCAGAAGGAAACACTAATGCTTTTATTTCACGTATTCTACTCAGTAGACTAGAAGCTAAAATACTGTCGGCAATTAAATTAGTATTTATTTAATAAGGACTTTCACCCTTATTTTTACTAAGTAACAAATGCTGAATCATAATCATATTAGTATTTAGCCCCATTTTCACTGATTGAGTCTACTTCATCATTTTAACAGTTATATCATCAGCTTTTGGATGGTGCAAGTACAGTATTTGCAAGTGTAAGTGCTTCCAGAAATCATATGTTGTGTAAGTTAATATAATTAACATTAAAAGAACATAGATGTTACCTCTGCTTCTCTTTTCTTCTTTAAGAATTTTTTGGCTTCAATAGCTTTTATGCCGTGGCTTGGTGGTGGCTTTGGAACCTGTATAACGGCTGCTCGAATCCTGGCCATTATTTCATTTTGTCTCCTTCTTCCTATGAGATGCTGAATATTTAACATCTTGTGTTCAGATACTTAAGTTCAAACAAAATACACCATATGGCCCTAATACACTACCTATATCTCTATGAAGTAAACGTAATTAAGCCATTAGGAAAAAAATCTTCTAGGAAGAAAGTAGAAGAGCTTATCAAGCTCCGGGCTAGAGCAAAAGACTTTTCATTCTTTCTTTTTTTTTTTTCTTCCTAAAGTGGATCACTAAAATTACATGAAAGCAAAAAATTCTGTATCTTTTGTCCATAGTTAAACCTTCTCAGCCACTGTACTAATAGATCATCAGTTTTATATCAAGAAGCGGATATCGTAAAATGCATTTTAAATTAAAGTATCATTCTATATTCTGAATAATTTGGCAGCTTAGCAATATGCTAGTATATGTTACCAATATTTTAGGATGAAGATACATTTTTAAGTTCCATTATCAGAAAATTATACACCTATATATGCTATGCTTGCATTAACAAATAGTACAGTGCAATAGAAGCACATCTGTAAAGAAAAACACTTTGTGCCCTATGCTTATTAGGCGTTTAAGAGCTTGTATTAAATTCTAGCTCTAGTGCGGTAACTATTTCAGTTCAGAATTCAGAATAGAAACTGAGAATACCAGTTTCCTCGTACGGAAACTGAGAATATCATCAGGTAATATTACCACGGAACAACAAGTCTCAGATGATCAAGAAGTAACAAATATTTAAATTACACTAGTTAAAAGTGCACTACAAATACATGCAGTTAAAACTGGAATTGAGTGGAAAAGAAGTTTTTTTACAAAGAGGCAAAGACAGTTAAAAAAAAAAATTAATATATCAAATAAGATATTAATAAATTTTCTTTTAGAATTTTATTTTGAATATTTGGGATATTGCCTGTATTTTCTTTTCTAGATACATGGACTTTTTTCTTTTCATTCTTGTTCATGCAGTGGCAATAGAACAGCTAAATAACCACAACAAGCCTCTCTCCCTTTAATTAGCCATATAAAATGCATCTCAAATTAGGCAACTTCATTTTCACTGTGGTTCAACACCCCTTGGATAGCTGGCCAGTTCCTCTATACAAACTACAGGATGTACTTTGGTTGAGTGTTCCTGTATCTTAAGAAATTCCTCTTTTTCGCTCTATCAGAACAGCTCCACAGAGCTACAAGATGTCCTGAGGCCATACCCACTGTAGGTCCCCCTTCCCTGTGTTTTTTTCCTGCTTTTGAACAATGCTTCCTCTTTTCTTCACAAATGAAGAATGTCACAAAATTCTTTTACAAGGACATCTTAAACATGTACAGTTGTGAAATTTATGCTTTTGTCTTCATATCTATAAGTATTTTCCATGCATGATAATATGCAAATACTCTTAATTTAAAATTAAGTTATTTTTAAATATAAATGTTTTTTAGGGTCTTTTAACAGTATATTGGCTTTATATCTACACATTAATGATTGTCATGAGTACTCCTTTTCTTTGTTTTTGTATAAACATGACTGAGCAGCACAGAATTAAAAAGTACCCACACTGGCTTTAACTAACCCGTTGTGTACATGACCTTAAGAAAATATTTCTTCAGAAGACTATTAAAAGTAAGTAGTCACCTTTTCAGTGTCTTGGGCTCTCTGTTTCTCTTGGAGCTTCTGAACTTCCTGTTGTTCTGCGATATGTATACGAGCTATTTTATCTTCCATTGCCTTAGATTTTGTTTCAAAATGCTCTGAAATGTGCTGTAGCTGCAAATCAGCCTGACGTGGTGTTAAAGTTTTTAAACTCTAAAATTAAACATCAGTTAATGAAGAGTCAGAAATACTAAGAAATATATTTAAATACGATAATTTTGCTATAGTAATTTCAAACTGTGTTTTCCGGTGTTAATGTACACAGAACATCTAAACATGGTCAAATATTTTTCAGAAAAACAGGCCTAACTCTATTGAAAAGAACATGCAGATTTGAACTTGAACAATGCCAAACTGTATTTAGTTTGGAGCCAAGGAGGCTGAGGGGTGACCTCATCGCTCTCTGCAGCTTCCTGAGGAGGGGATGTGGAGAGGGAGGTGCTGATCTCTTCTCCCTGGGATCCAGTGACAGGACGCATGGGACTGGTTTAAAGCTGCACCAGGGGAGGTTTAGGCTGGACATGAGGAAGCGTTTCTTCACCGAGAGGGTGGTCAAACACTGGAACAGGCTCCCTAGAGAGGTGGTCAATGCCCCAAGCTTGTCAGTGTTTCAGAGGCCCCTGGCCAATGCCCTCAGTAACACGCCTTAGCTTTCGGTCAGCCCTGAAGTGGTCAGGCAGCTGGACTAGGTGATCGGTGTAGGTCCCTTCCAACTGAAATATTCTGTTCTATGCCAACTGAAATATAGAAAATTCAACTTAAACATAAGCAAAAAAAATAATGAAAGGGTGATGAACCTGCTCTAGGTGGTCTTGCTCTGGCAGGGGAGTTGGATTAGATGATCTTTCGAGGTCCCTTCCAACCCCTAACATTCTGTGAAACAATTTGCCCAGGCAGGCTGTGAAGTCTCCACCTTTGGAGATATTCAAAACGCAACTGAACAAGGTCCTGAGGAACCTGCTCTAGTTGACTTTGCTTAGAGCAGGGAGGGTGGATTAAACGACCTCCAGAGGTCCCTTCCAACCTCAACTAGTCTATGATTCAAACACCATTCTGAACCCAATCTATTAACAGGAGCTAATCTCAGTTGTTTTATCTTCTTTAAGCTATCCCTCTACAGGTGAAGGGATGTTTCCACTGTTTGGTACTATCCTTGCACTTTTGGTAAACTTTCTGCTTGTAGAGTATTTTTCAGGAAGTGTGCCGGAAAAAAACCCTGAAATTTCACCCAGCCGAATTTGTTTCACAATATACAGCTTCTTAAAGATTGCTCATCCTGATAACAAATTATGATCTACACATGCTGAACATTACTGTTGAAGACAAGAAGAACATCCTTAACAGAATCTACTACATCGATACTGACTTCCTCTTAGATAATCTCCTTCCCCTTTGTTTTTTCCTTTTTATATTACTCAGCATATGGTTATTGCAGGCTGAAGTGTAATATAAATATATGGAAAGACATGCAACAGAAGGAACCACTGTGGCACAAAGCTCAACACAGTTATAAACAGGTTTCCTGGGGGGGAAATTAGTCTAAATTGATACCTAGACTGCAACACAGTCTGCAATCTGTACTTATCAAATGAGTAAAATGGCAGCTGCTGAACAGCTGCTAGCCTTTGTTGCTATATGTATTTTAAGTCTGGTGAAAGCTTAAAAACAGAGGTAACACAGGTAACACAGAATGAGCCAAAATAGACGATCAGTATCCTCCTGAGTCACAGACAAACTGTGTAATCCCACTGTCCACGTATAAGATATGGCAAAGGACTGCTTCTTTTCCATGTAAGGACTGGGTTTTGAATAGGAGATTTAAAAAGTGGGGAGGGGAAACATGCAACATGCTTGAGAGGTACATGTAAATATGCTAGCTTTTTTCCTATTTATTTATACAAAATAGGCATAGTTAGTTACCTCTTGATACAAAACACTTTTAATAGACTTAAGCTTTGCAGTTGCTGCAGGTCTCGTTGCTTCCATGGCTACTCTAGTGAGCTTTGCCTTTCTCTTTTTTTGTAAAGCAACATACAATTCATATAAAAGCTTTGTTGCAGCCCCATGCCGTCCTGTCATGATGTCTTGGGCCACATTCTCATTAAACTGTACACCAAGGAGGTGAAGCGTGGGCTCCAGGCGAGAAAAATTGTTAAGTTTTGCATTTGCAACCCTATATGATTAAAAACAACAATAAAATCAGAACATAAACTTATTTTCAATACCAACTTGTTGCAATAAGCATGGATGTGACATCTATCTCACACCAAGATAGGAGCATAAAAAAACCACAGAGGACTTCCTTAAAGTAACGTGATGCACACTTTAGCTTAGGTTTTATACTGCAGTACATACAACTGCATTGATCTACAAGGCACAACTTTCGGAAAAAGTAGAGAACACATTGCGTTACATAAATCTTGATGAACACACATACAAAGTGCATTTGACAGCAAAAGCTTAGCCCCCAGTTGCAGATAATTTTATACCACCCACAAAAAGTGCAGAGTTAGAATGAAGTTTCTATATCAACTGTATCAATCCACTTGGGCTCTAACCAGACAAAATATAGGAAATTATTAAAATATAGTCTATTAATCCTCACAACACATCGTCATATTTCTACTCCAATTAAAAAAAATGGACACATGGGTTGCAGTACTGTTGAAAACAAAGACTGTGGTCTCAATAAGCAATTTACATTCAAAACTGAAATAGTGCATCATGGATTCATGTTTCTCTTGATATGTAGATTCTCCTGTGGGAGCATCGAGATCAACAGATATATAGGCCAAAAGCCAATAACAATAAATTATCATTGTATCACAATTAACACATGAAATTTCATCAAACAAATCCATAACTTCAACCTGAGTCAGAAGATCATGATTTCTATACTGCTCTACCATTTGAGTTCACCGTAGTTCCTTCACATGAACAAACAAGTTTTGAGGTCAGCCAAGCTACAGCATAATTCTACAAAAATGTCCAATATTAATATAAGACCTTCTGGTAACACAGTATTCACCTTATTGCTAGACAAAACAGTCCAGGAGCTCATTATTCTCACTAGAATAGTCCATGCCTTATTTCTTACGCAGTTATATATAACGTAGCTTACAACTATTGAACATTTTTCTGCCATTGAGTCAAGGTTAAGGTGAGCCCTATTGTCAGAAATCACCACACATGCATTGAAAAGCTGTGGTGGTATCACCTCTTCAATTTTTGTTCTGTAATCAGGTCAGATGGAATTTCTTAACCTTGCCTTTTAATAAAAAAAAGTTTTGTAAATCTTATTTCAAGAACATTGTAAGCGTTCAGGGAAAATTACAATGTTTTATTTTTCAAATATGGACAGCTAAACTGGAAAAGGTTTTCCAGTAGTATTCCCTTTAAAAAAGTAGTATCACTTTCTCAATTAATATCCCCTTGCTTATATGTCCAAGAACTGTGGAACATAAGCAGCTAATATAGCTAAGTAGACCTTGACTAGTTAGTCGCAATGACCCCACACACTTTTCTGTTAGTGCCTTCTAGATTACGGTCTCCTATTCCTAAAAAGGGAATCTACATTTCTCCCACCACCACCCTAAGAGGTATGATATTGCCTTGAGCTGTGCTAAAAAATATTAAAGGGATGCCAGCTTACCAAATGATCCATGAATAATATGCTTTCACTTAATAGCACACTCCAAATTTTAAAAGTATTACTTCATAGATATGAAGCAAGCTTAGGCAGGTATAGGTTCTTGCAGGATTTCATAACCATACAATGACTATTACACAGGAATAATTTATTTATTGTGCAGAAGAAATATCATGGAATTGAGGAAAGATTGCCTCAATTCTTGATAGTTGTCAAAAGATCAATGTCAGTAATTATTAGAAAGGAAAATAATGAAGAAAGGTGAAAACATCAAATTATCTTTACAAAGTCATAGAGTACCCCATTGTAAATAACACCACATACAGTCCTCCCTCTCATATGCCAGACACTCCCAGCCCTTACTAATCATCATGGCCTTTCTCTGGTCCTGCTCAAATACATTCATGTCATTCTTGCACTGTGGAGCCCCAAACTGGACACAGCACTCCAGATGTGGTCTCACCCATGCCATGTCTTCTTAATATGGCCCAGGATGCTGTCAGTTTCCTTTGCTGCAAGGGCACATTGCTGGCTCATGTTCAGCTTGTTCTCCCCCAGGGCCTCCAGGTCCTTCTCTGCAAAGCTGCTTTCAAGACAGCTGGCCCCTAGCTGGTACTGAAGGCATGGGGGTTTCCTCACCAGAAGCATTTCCCTTTTTGCTGAACTTTGAGAGATTCCTCTCAGCCCTTGTCCCCAGCCCATCAGGGTTCCTCTAAAGGGCAGCACAACCATCTGCTGTATCAATCACTCCTTCCAGTTTTGTATCATCAGCAAACATGCTCCGAGCGCACTGTCTATTCATGCAGATTGTTAATGAAGATGTTAAACAGCGTTGGTCTCAGAGTCAGCACTTGGGCTACACCATTTATCACTGACCGTCACCTGCACTTCACACTGCTGATCACAACCCCTTGAGCCTGGCAGTTCAGCCAGTTTTCAGTCCACCTCACTGTCCACTTACCTAGTCTATACTTCATCAGTTCGTCTATGAGAATGTAAGGGAGATGATGTCAAAAGTCAATGTAAACAGCTTACGCCGCTCTTCTCTCAACCACTGAGCCTGCCACCTCGTTGTGGAGGTTGTCAGGTTAGTCAGGCATGATTTTCCCTTCATAAATCCATGCTGACAACTCCAAATCATCTTGGTGTCCTTAATACACTTGGAAATGGTTTCAAGGTCTGTTTACTCCATCAGTTCCTATGGACTGAGGTGAGGCTGACTGTCTTACACATCCCCAATTCCTCCTTCTTGCTTTCCTTGAAGAGAGGAGTGGCAGTTGCATTCTTCTAGTCCTAGGAATCTCCTCCAATCACCAGGACCTTTCAAAGATTATTGAGAGTGGCCTCGCAATGAAATCGGCCAGGTCCCTCAGCGTGTGTGGGTATATGCCACCAGGTTCCATGGACTTTAGCATTTCCATTTTATTTAAATGTTTCTTAAGCTGGTCTCTTCCACCAAGGCTAAATCTTTCTTGCTGCAGACTTTCCTGCTAGTCTCAGGGCCTTGGGATTTCTGGGTGCGAGTTTTGCCAAAAGAGCAGACCAGGACAGAGAAGGCATTCAGCACCTCAGCCTTTTGCACGGCAGACTGAGGGATATTTGAGAGTCTGAGAGGGAGATTGATCATTGGAGTCGTACTCTGCCACCTATGACGCATGGAAGCCAACTCAGCATGGCCAGTACAGAGGCAGGTCCTCGATTTGCATTGTGCCAAGAGGGAGGCAGTATGACAAGGGATAAGGAGGGGTGGAAGGAGGTTACAGTACAGAGTGGAAGAGAAAACCCTCTTCACTCGCTGAGATACTCTTACAGAACATCTATGAGGTCCTGGGTTTAGTGGACAAAGAACATAATGATATAGAGGAGGAACTGGAGTAAGCAGTCTTGCTGAGGTGAGAGAGACCAACGCTTCACAACAAAATCTGCATTAAGACCGGCACTGAGAAGAAACAACGGTGAGTTACAGTCATTGGTGATTCTCCCCTGTGCAGAACAGAAGTACCTGTTTGTGGACTGGACCCTCTTTTCAGGGAAGTTTGCTGCTTCCCTAGGGCTCAAATTAGGGACATCACCACAGGACTGAAAACCTTTTTTTTAGACTGCTACCCATTCCGTCTCTTTCACGTGGGTACAAATGATATCGCAACAAAAAGTCTGAGGTCAATCAAAAGAGATTTCAGAGCCCTGGGAAATAAGCTAAAAAATTCGGGAGCACAAGCAGTGTTTTCCTCAATGTAAGCACTAATGTTTGGGGTTTTTTCCACTGTGTCCTGTGCCCCAATCAGCAGTAGGCTTACATTTTCTCTAGGCTTCCTTTTCCTGCGGATATACCTGTAAAAGCCCTTCTGGTTGCCCTCCATGTCCCTCAACAGTTTTGACTCCTAATGGGCATTGACTTTCCTAAAGCCATCCCTGCATACCCAGACAATGTATTTGTGCTCTTCCTGGGTCACCTGGCCCTGCTTCCACACCTTTTATTCTTCCTTTTTATGTTTGAGTTTTGTCAGTAGCACCTTATTCTTCCATTTATACCTCCTGCTGTCTTTTTTCTGGTTTATTCACATAAAGATGTAATATTCTTGGAGAAGATGATGTTTGGAACAAACAAAAAAAAAAATTTTTTTTTTTTTAAAAAAAATATATCAATCAGCATTCTTGGACTCCTCTGCTCTCCAGGACCATTTTAAATAGGGTTCTTCCAAGCAGATGTCTTGGACCCCTCCTCTCTCAAGGACCATTTTACATAGGATTCTTCCAAGCAGATCCCTGAATAAGATAAAGTCTGCTCTCCTGAAGTCCAGGGTTGTGATGCTGCTATTTACCTTGTTCACTCCTCTCAAGATCATGAACTCTACCATCTCATGGTCACTGCAGTCAATGCTGTGCTTGACCTCCCTTGTTCATACTTATTAGGTTTAGTAGAACATCTCCCCTCTTCAGCTCCTCAATCAAGTTTCTCAGTAAGGTATCATCAATGCACTCTAGTAACCTCCTGGATTGCTTGTGCCTGGTGGTGTTTCTCTTCCAGTGGATATCAACTTGGTTAAAGTTCTCTATTCAGACTGAGATCTGTGAAAATGAGAATTCTTTCAGTCGTCTCAAGAAAACCTTATGTATTTCTTTCTGCTCAAGTGATCTGTACCAAACAGTCACTACAGCATCACTCAGTTTGGTCTTTCCTCTAATCCTAACCCACAAGACCTTAACTGGACATCATCCTTCCCAAGGCAGAGCTCTGTGCATTTTCTCTACCCTCTCACACAAAAAGCAACTCCTCCTCCTCACCTGCCCAGCCTGTCCGTCCTAAAGAGCCTATATCTAGCCAAGGCAGCACTCCAGTCGTGTGAGCTATCCCACCGCCTCTCTGTGATTCCAATGATACCATAGTCCTGCAACTGCACGCAGGCCTCTAATTCCTCCTGTTTGTTCCCCATGCTGTATGCATTAGTATCCAGGCACTTCAGAGATGCAGCCAGAATGTGTTGATTTACCAGAGAAAGTGTGAATGCTTCTCCCATAATGCTATCTTCTCAGCAATTCCTTAATTGCATACATACATTGGGGTGGGCAGCCTTCTGCACTGTTTTGACCCTCTTATTCACATATCCTCCTCTTGCTTGCCAGTCCAGGCCATAACTTCTTCACTCGTTTGAGAACAATCATCTCTTTCCCCCCCTCATTCCTAGTTTAAAGCTATCCTCACCAGGTCTGCCAGCCAGTTGGCAAACATGCTTTTGCCCAACTTGGTCAGGCAGATCCCAGCCCTTCCTAGTCCGCCATCTTCAAAGAGGATTCCATAACTGCAAAAAACAAATCCCTGCTGTTGACAGCAGCTGCACAAACACTTGTTGACCTGTAGAATCTGTCCACTCCTCATGAAGCCTTTCCACCTCACCAGCAGAAATGAGGAAAAAAACCACCTGGGCCCCCATGCCTTTGACTTTTGTCTCCAGAGCCACTTTTGTTATGCTCCAGGACTCTCTGGCAGTATCCTTGGTGCACACATAACAGAGCAGCAGCGGTAACAGCACAAGGGCTGGACAAGCCCTTCTACAGTCCTGGACCTGACCCCCAGCAAGCAGCAAACCTCCCTGACTAGCATGTGAGGTCAGCAGATTGGTGCCTCCATCTCCTCCAGTAGAAAGTCTCCCACTACTATCACTCACCTGTTCCTCCTGGTGCTCCTGTCTTGTTCAGATTTTTCAGCTCAGATGCTTTGTTGCACAGAGCCACCAGCTTATCATCTGCTACCAAGGCAATGAACCTGTTCTGCAGCTATGGATCAGCAGGCAGAGCAGGAACCTTCCTTCTCTTGCCAGAAGTCACAAGCTGCCAGTCATCTGCTTTTCCCAACCAAACAGGCACAGATTCTGACTGCCTTTCCATCAGCACAGCTCTGGGTTTATGTTCCTGTATCTGCAGTGTCTCAGAGAAGATGTAGTCAATCTCCTTTTCATCATCTGTGACACTGAGCAGTGTACTGACCTCCTTCTGCAGCAGCTTGACTTGGTGACACAGATCACAGAATCACAGAATGTTAGGGGTTGGAAGGGACCTCTGGAGACCGCCCAGTCCAACCCCCCTGCCAGAAGAGGATCACCTAGAGAAGGTTGTGCAGGACCGCATCCAGGCGGGTTTTGAATGTCTCCAGGGACGGAGACTCCATGACCTCTCTGGGCAGCCTGTTCCAGTGCTCTGCCACCCTCAAAGTAAAGAACCTCCTCATGTTTAGATGGAACCTCCTGTGTTCAAGTTTTTGCCCATTACCTCCTGTCCTGTCACTGGGCACCACTGAAAAAAGACTGTCCCTATCCTCCTGACACCTGCCCTTTAAGTATTTATAAGCATTGGTCCTCCACGAGCACACACCTCTGCAGGCAAAGCCACCACCTCCCCCTGTCCAAGGCTAAGTAAAGACTCTGGGCACTCGCTACAGCCTGAGACATGGAAAATTGCCTCCTTTCTCTGGAAAGCAATCTGAGTTGAGACCTCTAACATTCTGAGTAGCTGCTCCAGTGGGTACTGGGGATCATGCCCTGTCATGTATCACCACCTTCACTGAGCATACATACACTGTTTCAGCAGATTTTCTAACCTCTTCTTGCACTTGCTGAAGTGCATCTTCACTAATTGTACCTCCTTAATCAGAAGTCAGGTGGAGACAAGAGCTCAAAGCAATCAGGAAGCATGGACAGAACTCTCAGAAGCTGCTAGAACTTGCTAGAAGTAAAAGCCTCCTGAAGCTATCCTTTCCCAGCGGCAGCAGGCACTCTAAAGTTCCTCGAAGAGTTATGAGGTGTTCTCCAATGATCCTGGAAATTCACGAGAGATCTAGAAGTCCAAGCAGCAGAGCCCAAAAACTGCTGTGCAAAACTGCTGTGTTTGTTGGCTGCCTTTGTTAGCTGTGCTCAAGCTGCTCTCCTAGAAGTTGGTGGGACTTGGATAGGAAAGGGTATACATAAATGAGAAGTGCAAAGAACATAAAAAGAGGTTCAGAAGAAACAAAAAGAGGATGTACAGCCTGGCACATTTGATACACATGTACACCAAGGTCCGACAATATGGAGCATAAGACAAGGAACCCCACGAACTGCATCATCAACATACCAAGGCTCAGAGACCTGCACAAGATTTTTCAACTTCCTGGTTTTCTGTTCTTCTTCATTGTGGATATGACACCAGCTTACTTGTAAATTTATAAATTCTTGTACGAGCTTCAGCCAGGGCTTCACTCAGAGCCTCACAATGCATCTCCACCTTCTTCACTTTAGTGAAGGTGTAATGGTCACCACCACAGCATACCTCTGGATTCCTGGCTCTACACAGCTCATGGAGATACTGCAAGTATCTCTAAACTTAAGAGACATCCTTGAAGGGCTTGTTGAACTTTTTGTCTAACCTGCTACTATTGTAGTTGCAACCAAAATGCATCATTTTCTTAAAGTAGTATGATCAGTTTCTCTGGAAACACGAAGCTAATCCGTGTGTCAAATACAAGCAGCTTTTGACTTACTGATAAATGTATCAAATATCTTTGTAAGTTCTAGACGTCTTTCCCATTCTGCATTAGCAAATCCTAACTGAAAAATAAATATTTGATCTAATTTCTGTACGAGACATGGTATGCATATGTACTAACCTGCTCTCTGAAAATTGATTAAAGTCATCCTGAAGACCGTATTTGTGTAGAAGTTCTCCTAGGAGGTAGCCATTAGAAAATTCTTCTGAAAATGATCCTGGAACTAAGTTCGGTTTTTTGTTGTTTGTTTTTTTTAAAAAAATAAGATAATTAAAAGAATTCATACGTTAATCTTAATACAATTCATCATTATTTTAATAACAAAATTAAGTCCAAACTTTATTAAATAATTCAGAGGAATTTTAGGAGATTGATTGAGCAGTAAGTAGTTTTCAATTCACAAATAAATCTGCTTTCAGTGTAGTTATTTTGCAACACAAGCTTTAGGTAGTCATTTAATTCTCATTTTCAGTGTTAAAAAGTAAACATTGTCATAATGGTCATTAAAATCGTGGCAATATCTATAAATGATAATTACTAAATTTTCTGTAAAAAATGCAAATACAAACAAAGCTAGGTCTAATGTGCTTCTCTTCCACAGGAAGACGCTCCCTCCTTGCAGAAGAAATGCTTCTCCAAATCCAGCACAAGCACAACACCTTCCATTCAAAAAAAAGCACTGCTTTGCAAACATATTAAAACATTTTTATCCTCTGGAGTTCTCGTTAGCAGATGAAGCTTAAGCTTCTCTCTCCTGAGAGCACCTGTGCTTTGAGGAAGATTAACTTCACCTCGAAAATCACCGTCTTGCACATGAAGATTAAAAATCTACCTGAGGAGGTACCTGGACGCGAGGTTCGCCGGTTGGTCAGCGGGAGCTGGGCCCGCGGGACCCCCTCGATCCGCCGGCGGCACGAAGGCCTGACCCTGCGGCGGCCCCTCG